ATGAGAAATCTTGTCACTTGGGTATAAACTCCTGGTTTATCCTTTAGCCCACACTGTTCACCCCAGCTCACTATTCCATAGACGTGGTAGGAACCATTTTGTACACAGGTCAGAGGACCTCCAGAATCTCCCTGATAAAACAAAGAAGCACATCATTTTTTGCATTCTAAAATAAAGCAAAGTGTTAAGCACAAAGACTGATGAGAAATCTTGTCACTTGGGTATAAACTCCTGGTTTATCCTTTAGCCCACACTGTTCACCCCAGCTCACTATTCCATAGACGTGGTAGGAACCATTTTGTACACAGGTCAGAGGACCTCCAGAATCTCCCTGATAAAACAAAGAAGCACATCATTTTTTGCATTCTAAAATAAAGCAAAGTGTTAAGCACAAAGACTGAGGTTTTGAGTGTTTTTGAATACAGATTTGCTAAGGAGGTGTTTTTCAGATCCCAATTCAAGTTTAGGATACTGGTCTGAATTTCAGAAAAATTAAAGTGAAAACTCAAACTGTTGTTTAGTTTTGGCTCAGAGTGACAGAAATCCCATAAGTTCACATGAAATTTTCATGGTCACCAATGTTAAGTAATTGGGCATTGTGGTCATGAACTTGATTCATAACTATATGGGCAGATTCAGAATGCGTATCAACACATCTGTAAAACCAAGTTGGTCCATCTTCAGTTATGTTATTTTCATTTAAAAGGTTGATGGGAAAACCGCAAAGGGATACTGGGGAAAATTTTGCTGTGTTACAGTTGTGCAAATCCTGACTTCTACCAGGAATGTAGGAGCTTTTGAGAAAGATCAAGTTGGGGGTGGTTGGGTGCTCATGACAAAGATGAATCTGGTAGATTTGGGAAGAGAGAGAGGGTATATGCATTAAAAAGAGTTCCGGGGAAGCCTCTGAATTTTTGAACTTTTCCAATGGAACCTCTAAACCTTCCCTGTCATTGGTGGTGACGACATTAGTTCTAGGAATATATTTCTCAAATCACACTGAAGAAAAAATAAGGTTGTTGTAATGTGTTAGGACAAACAGATACATGTATAGTACCCTGCCATGAGGAGACAGTTCTAGTGTTCTATGATTCTATACCCTGCCAAAGCCATTACTCTACACAGACTGACACTTTATGCAATTTTCTTTAAAGAATGAAATTAATGTTGAAATACAGAAAAAGCAACCAACCTGACAACTATCAACTCCTGGAGTCTGAAGATTTCCTGCACAAAACATGGTTTCATCCAGTCTGCTATCATATGCACTCCGTGCGTTGCACCGTGTCTTGGAGATCAGTTTCACTCTGGCATCTAACAGCTGACGAGATCCTTCTCCTACAGGAAAAAGGAAAACACGGAAAATCACCTTCCTCTTTCTCACTTCATCTTATGTTTTTAATCTATGAGTTTGTTTGTAATTTGTCTGTGGGCAGGGTAGGAGGGGGAAGTCTAGCTGATATCATATAAATATAGTTAGAGCCTGTGTCTGGGAAATTCACTCAGAACACTGAAGTCATTGGGGCTATGTTTACACTGCACAGTTATTTCAGAATAAGCAATTCCGGAATAGTTATTCCGAGATAGCGTATTTCTAAATAGCACATCTACACTGCAGGGAAGCCTCACAATTAGTCCGAGACAGGCTTCTCTAATGTAGACGTGCTATTTCGATTTAAAGCCCTAGGAAGAATAACTTAGAATGCCCTGGTGAGAGGCTATTTTGAAATAGCAGAAGGAGAGCGTCTACACACCCCTTATTTCAAAATACAGCTGGTCCCTGAGTTACGAACGAGTTACAGACCAAACACTTGGCCGTAACTCGAAGTGTTCGTAACTCGGATCCCATTGAGTAACATGGCGACCACTGTTTGTAAGCACGGATTGCGTTCGTAACTCGGGGACCGCATTTACGACCGCTTTGGTCGAAGTGCGGATGGTCGTAAGTTGGAGACCGGCTGTAGCTGTTTCAGAATAGGCATTATTCCTAGAATGAGGTTTACAGAAGTCGGAAAAGGCCATTTTGAGGAAAAGTTGTTATTTTGAAATTATTTTGAAATAACGGAATTGCTGTGTAGACGCTCACATAGTTATTTTGGAATAACAGCCGTTACTCCGAAATAACTTTGCTGTGTAAACACACCCTGGGAGATTTTGCCAGACTAGAAGAAGAGGAGGGTCTTTTAATCATAGTGCCTACACATTTGCTAGTGGCAGCTTGAGTTTAAAAGATGCTGATCACTAGCAGGTTCCATTGACTTCACCCTACATTTTTCAACACATAAAATAATGAAACAGATAAACAAGGTAAATATAATATTTTAAAAAAGATAATTAATTACAGGGAATCTAAAAACATAACATATCATCTAAAGGTGATAGTCACAGTTTCAAAGCACTTTATCTGTAGCTACTGAAGGGTACTTTAAGTTTGTGTTATACCAGAGTGACAGGAAACATTTCACAGTCTCAGTGATTTTCTGAAATGCTAATAATATCTTTGCTCAGAGAGAGAGAGAGCCCGTCTGAACACTTATAAGGTAACTGATTTTCTAAATAAAGAATTGTAAAAGAATTAAAAGATCTGCTCAATTTAGAATTTTTAAAAGATATCCATTAATTCTATTGCTGCATTCTGAACAAATGGGCAGGTAGGATTTGGACCTACCACTTGCAAAGTACTAAGATACCCAAAGCATCCAGAATGACACATTGTCTTTCTGCTTTACAGCAACATGCCAATTGGGACATGAGAAAATGCATTTTTCAGAAAATAGCCATTATCTTTAAAAGAAAGAATAAAGAATAATTCCCACTCAGAGTTACTGTCTGCGATAAAGTTTTGGGTAGAGTTGCTTGAACACAAAATGATTTGGATGTTTGCTTTGTATAAGCATCAGACACAGCCAGATGCCGCCTATGGAATGCTTAACAGGCAAGGGGAAACTTGTAAGAGTTCCAGTTCCTGACCCTCTCTGGAAATTCTGTAAGTAAAACATAACATCTTTCATGGTGTCTTATTTTTCTACTTTAGGCTTTGAATGAAGCCAAGAAGCAGAGTGTCATGTGGTAAAGAAAATGGTTAATGGATTTTTTTCTGATCTTCCAGGAAGTCTTGGATACTGGATGAAGGTTCGAGTCAATATTTATTTTACCTGGCCAAGTTAACACATGCATAGTTTTTGGTTACTTTTGTGTGTGTGTGCTTAATCTGAATTTTAGATACTGGGTTCTAGATACTGATCCAGTGAATTGCAAAGCAACTGAGTGGAGAGAGTTATTCTAGGCTTACACTGATATAACTGAGATCAGCCAATCAGCAAATACCTTACCTGTTTCAGTAACTCCCCATCCTGAGATGTAGCATTCAGTCCCATCAGGAAATGGAGCCTGGGGCAAACACACTGCTTTTACATACCTCGTTTCCAGAGCACAATGGCCATCAATTGGCTTCAGTTTAACCAAAGCTGAACACAGGGAAAACAAGAATACTTTGATTCATTTTAACCTTCTTTCATCTTTATCAGTCTACAGTGTGCACTGTACAAATGCCTGAAATCTATTTGTACCTGCTACTGGATCCTGCCCTCTTATGCTCTGTACCTACTTGTTTATGCAACTATCCTGAAGAGCTAGAGGATCTAAACTGTACATAGTCACATACTGGCTTACACTTTTCAAGAATTTTTTCTTGCACTATTGAAGTCAGCAGGAGTTTTGCCATTGATTTCCAGGAGAGCAGGATCAACCCCACAGAAACTGTCCCTCGATTTTAATCAGTGAAAAGGTCTATTCCACGATGCCTTGTCACAGAGTGTGCCAGGCACTGTTGCAGAACGGTGGGAGCTTACCGATATCATTGAATGGAATGTCATTCTTTGTTTTGTAGTTTCCATGCCGAATTATCGAGATTTTGCCAGACTAGAAGAAGAGGAGGGTCTTTTAATCATAGTGCCTACACATTTGCTAGTGGCAGCTTGAGTTTAAAAGATGCTGATCACTAGCAGGTTCCATTGACTTCACCCTACATTTTTCAACACATAAAATAATGAAACAGATAAACAAGGTAAATATAATATTTTAAAAAAGATAATTAATTACAGGGAATCTAAAAACATAACATATCATCTAAAGGTGATAGTCACAGTTTCAAAGCACTTTATCTGTAGCTACTGAAGGGTACTTTAAGTTTGTGTTATACCAGAGTGACAGGAAACATTTCACAGTCTCAGTGATTTTCTGAAATGCTAATAATATCTTTGCTCAGAGAGAGAGAGAGCCCGTCTGAACACTTATAAGGTAACTGATTTTCTAAATAAAGAATTGTAAAAGAATTAAAAGATCTGCTCAATTTAGAATTTTTAAAAGATATCCATTAATTCTATTGCTGCATTCTGAACAAATGGGCAGGTAGGATTTGGACCTACCACTTGCAAAGTACTAAGATACCCAAAGCATCCAGAATGACACATTGTCTTTCTGCTTTACAGCAACATGCCAATTGGGACATGAGAAAATGCATTTTTCAGAAAATAGCCATTATCTTTAAAAGAAAGAATAAAGAATAATTCCCACTCAGAGTTACTGTCTGCGATAAAGTTTTGGGTAGAGTTGCTTGAACACAAAATGATTTGGATGTTTGCTTTGTATAAGCATCAGACACAGCCAGATGCCGCCTATGGAATGCTTAACAGGCAAGGGGAAACTTGTAAGAGTTCCAGTTCCTGACCCTCTCTGGAAATTCTGTAAGTAAAACATAACATCTTTCATGGTGTCTTATTTTTCTACTTTAGGCTTTGAATGAAGCCAAGAAGCAGAGTGTCATGTGGTAAAGAAAATGGTTAATGGATTTTTTTCTGATCTTCCAGGAAGTCTTGGATACTGGATGAAGGTTCGAGTCAATATTTATTTTACCTGGCCAAGTTAACACATGCATAGTTTTTGGTTACTTTTGTGTGTGTGTGCTTAATCTGAATTTTAGATACTGGGTTCTAGATACTGATCCAGTGAATTGCAAAGCAACTGAGTGGAGAGAGTTATTCTAGGCTTACACTGATATAACTGAGATCAGCCAATCAGCAAATACCTTACCTGTTTCAGTAACTCCCCATCCTGAGATGTAGCATTCAGTCCCATCAGGAAATGGAGCCTGGGGCAAACACACTGCTTTTACATACCTCGTTTCCAGAGCACAATGGCCATCAATTGGCTTCAGTTTAACCAAAGCTGAACACAGGGAAAACAAGAATACTTTGATTCATTTTAACCTTCTTTCATCTTTATCAGTCTACAGTGTGCACTGTACAAATGCCTGAAATCTATTTGTACCTGCTACTGGATCCTGCCCTCTTATGCTCTGTACCTACTTGTTTATGCAACTATCCTGAAGAGCTAGAGGATCTAAACTGTACATAGTCACATACTGGCTTACACTTTTCAAGAATTTTTTCTTGCACTATTGAAGTCAGCAGGAGTTTTGCCATTGATTTCCAGGAGAGCAGGATCAACCCCACAGAAACTGTCCCTCGATTTTAATCAGTGAAAAGGTCTATTCCACGATGCCTTGTCACAGAGTGTGCCAGGCACTGTTGCAGAACGGTGGGAGCTTACCGATATCATTGAATGGAATGTCATTCTTTGTTTTGTAGTTTCCATGCCGAATTATCTTCTCCACATCAAATTTTTGTTCATGGTATTCTGTCCTCTCCAGGTCTTGCTTTCCAAGGGACACTTGCAGGTTGTCTGCTTGTGATCTAAGAAAAAGAAAATAAAGCAAATCATGTGCTGGACTTTTCAGCTTTGGTGCTCTGAATGCAGGCAGTTGGTGGGATGACCAAGTCAGCAATGCTGGAATGCTCTCTTGCATTTTGTAATTTACCACTCTCCGAACCGCCCCTACCAAGAGATTTTCTATATACCTGCCTGGCATAAGCGCCTCAGAAAATGTAATCTAGTACTCCGGGCAGAGGCTAATTGGTGTTGAGCAGCAGGAGGTAAAATCACAGAATAGCTGTTTTTGAGCTCTTGTTGCTTTCTTCCTTATGCCATGGTGTGTGGTGTCACATGTTATGTGGCCGACCCCAACCCCAAGTCTTCAGAGGACTTTCTTTTCAACCACCACAAAGCTTTGCTATGTCTCCTCTTTTTTTTTCTCTAGACATGTTGAAAATCCTCAGAGAGAGGACCCTTCAGATACTGACAACATTTTCCTAAGGAGTTAATTGAAGGCTTGAATCAGTCCTTCAGCAAGGTGTGATAAAAACTTCATCCTGTCAGCCAGCTGCTTTATCTATACTACTTTAGAGTAAAAGGAGGGAGGAGAGAATTTAATAGGAAACACCTTCTGGGGGAGGGGAGTGAGCCCAGAACATGTACTTATAATATCCTTTTAACTTCCTGTACCTAGCTACTCTCTAGTATGTGATCTTAATAAAAATAGCAACAATGACAGCTAAATTAAGCGGAAACTGAATCCTCCAACTTTAATCCAATTTGAGAAGAGTTGATTAAGGTATTTAATGAGCTTCTGGGAGACTCATACCGTGGGAAGTATGTGGCTGGGTGATTTAATAGGCATTTTTAATCTACATTTTCTGTGATTTTATACCTAACTGCTAAGAACATTCCTTTAACGTCTCATTCTTCATTCCCTGGAAGCGCCCATTATGAATTCTGAGTCACTTCTGAGATTTTGCTGGCCAGAATTTTAACTGACAAAGGGGTGTTGCTCCGTTGAAATTAGGGCTGATTTATATCAGTGCGGGATCTAACGCCATTTGTCTCAGTGAGTGCGAACGAGAACATTTAAACTGAAATGCTTTGTTTGCAATTTTTCCATTTAAAAAAACGATCTGAAAATTTTGTCGACATTGACTTTTTGCAGCCCCCTCCCTCCAAAAAACCCACCTGGTAGTTCGGTTCAAAGGGATCCATTTCACTCAATTAACTACTATGTGATGTTCCATTCAATGCACTTACTGAATGCAATGTCCAGCAGTGAGGACCCAGCAGGGTTCAATGAGAGCTCCTCCACAGAAATGTCCCTTTGGCATGGAGGTTCTCAATGGAACCTTGCTTTGCAGAGATGCCATCCAGGGATGCTTGCCAGATGTGGTCTTAGCCCCACCATAAATCCTTGCGAGCGGTCTCTCAGCCTCTGGCTGTCCACACGTATTGAATGTCTTACCCGCTATAGGAAGAACAGCTGGGCTGACTGTAGTTTCTGGAGGCTTTTCTGCAGGGGAGACATCAATCAGACTGAACATGCTACAGGCACAGACTGAACTTGCTATATTGATTATGAATCTCAGGCATGGCCAAGGCAATGCATGTTGGGAATGTCCAGCTCACTCATGGAAGTGGCAGCATTATGACGCACTAAAGGAGAGACCTGAGTCTGAGAGCAACACTGCGAATCCTGTTCTGTAGCAGCTTCTCAGAGGATCACCCCATCACTGTTCAGCTGTGAGGATGGATTGTCAGAGCTTCATGGATGCTTAGGGGCAAGTTATTTGTCCATACTGGCTTCACGGTGGCTACAGAGAGTGGGACAAGCATTCTTCATCTGAACAGAAGGATTTCATAAAGACTAGATAAAACCCAGCACCCGAGTTCAGACAAGACCTAGCCATGGCTCTGAGAGAACAGCAGCAGCAGCGTAAAATCTAATGGAATAGGGATTGAATTGCTTCGTGCTCAGCTGACCTTACCTGACCAACAAGGTCTGGCTAGCACTTTGGAACTCTCAAAGGACTGGGCGTTTCCATTTCCAGTGCCAGCCAAAACGAGGCAATGGAGACAGACTCGCAAAAAGGAAACAAACAAAGTCTTAAACCTGAAGGTTCATGTCAGTTCTGATGTTATCCCTCTTGTACTATATTCATTGGTTCATTCTTCCCTCATTCTTAGTTTCCCATAGGAATCTATGCATGTACAGTATTGAAAATTCCTAGTGTCCCAATACAATTTGAATTATTTTAATAATCTCTGTTTCACAATTGATAACCTCCAGTTGGGATTCCCAAAGTTCTTAGAAGCCCAACTCCCATTAAAGTCAATGGATCTAGATGCCTAAATACCTTTGGTCACATCTATACTTACTGCACCATAGATCAATCTTCTGGCATTTGATTCAGTGGGTCTAGTAAGGACCCACTAAATCGAATGCTGAGAGCATCCCGTCAGCTCTGGTACTCCTTGATTTGTGAGGAGTAAGGGAAGTTGACGGGAGCACTTGTTTGGCTTAAGGTACATCGACTCCAGGTATGTTATTTATGTACAAGTTGTGTACCTTAAGCCACCCTTCTGGGTCTAGTACAGTCCCAGCTTTTGTGAATCTCACTCTCAGGCTAGGTTTATACTAGACGTGGAAGGTCGGCTTAAGCTTGGCACCGTCTCCACAGTGGAAAGTCAATGGGGGCAAATGCTCCCGTTGTCTTCCCTTACTCCTCAAAAATTGAGGAGTACTGGAGCCTACCAGGGGTGCCCTCAGCATTTGATTTAGCAGGTTCTTATTAGACCCGCTAAATCAAATGCCAGAAGATAGATCTCTGGCACAGTAAGTATAAACATGGTCTCAGTGCCTACAGTCAGCCTTTCAGGTCCTGTTATTCATTTTCCCTCCTTGTGATATAGGACAATATTCTCAACTGAATGATGTTTAATACTGTTGCGGCCTGTGGTATTAAAAATGCAACTGATGATGTGTTATTGCGCATTTGTCTATAGCTGTTTTAGGACGAGGGGATATCCCTTTCATGACTATTGTTATAAGGGCTAATGATGACAATGTAGTATTCAGGCCTGTACATTTTCCTGAGATGGAATGTTGTGTCTTGTTTACCCATTTGACTTTCAATATTTTTATATTTCCACTGATATGTGTGAACAAAGACATCGTGTGTTCCATCTGCCCTCAAACAGACGGGGGTGACAAGTACTATGAGATAAGAGTTAAAGTGTTTCTGGGTAGAGTGAGATTTTAATACACGAGCGCACACTTGAAGGATAGTCCTGCCTCAACTCCTCTCCCAGTCCTCTCCAATAGGGATGGGAGAGAAAAGATATAAGAAACAGTAAAAGCCAAAGAAATAATAGGGATGGGAGAGGAAAGATATAAGAAACAGTAAAAGCCAAAGAAATGCCTGTCCCTGACCAAACCACAACCTCACTTCTTATCCGTCCCATAGGATACCACAGTGAGATACTGGAGCCCCCTGGACTCAAGACCTCCAAAATGGAACATGGCTATACATTGTAAGGGATTGGATAAAGGGCATGCAGCCTACAGATATGCCAGCTTGATTTACCCCACAGACATCTCTGTGGACTTCCTGTCTTCTGCTTTCTGTCTGTGGGACAAGAGTCAGGAGAAGGGCAAAGAGAAAGCTCTTAACACCCCTGAGCCTTACTGACCAGGGTCAGGGTTATTCTCCACGCTACCTGTTGCTGAACAGGGTGAAACATCACAGGACTCCCATTCCAGCTTGTTATTTTTGAGGATGAAGCACCAGGGTTTCACATCCCCGTCTGGATTCCTGCAAGGAACAGATTCCAACATCCACCGATCAGAGTGGGAAGCTGTCTCCAGGAAGACAGGTTAACAGTTGGACCGAAGGACGCATCAAAGTCAAAAGATGGGCTCTTTCACTATCTGAAATTGGTCCAATAAAAGATATTCTCTCCCGCACCTTGTCATTCTCATGTCAAAGGCAGGTTGCTTAGAGCAGGTTCAGATAGCTTTCCCTCACCCGGAGATTTTCTTGTACTTCTCTATTGATCCATCTGAACTGCTTATACTGCAAATACTAACGGTTCTGTACATTATTTTTTGTGAGAGGAGACCTCTACATATGTAGCTTCAGTAGATTACCTGCAGAAATTATGTTCACCAATGCCATAGTACCCAGCATTCTCCATAAATGCATTATAACTCTCATCCAAGAGATGGTGAGAATTCCAATGAAGGCACGTCTTCCCAGAACTTGTTTGACTCACTTTCCCTCTGTACTCGTGGCCATCCTGTTCATAACAGTCTTCAGGTCCTAGAAGAAGACAATGTGGTTATGGAACAGCCCTATTTGAGGTGTGTTTCCTGCACATCCTGCAAAGGATGACATGAGTTAGTTTCATGCCTGTTGCAAGATCTTGATGCACAGTGCCCTTACATGCAGTGAGACACAGGACCAAATGCAGTCTTGAATGAGGAAGGTGGGAATAACCGAACCTTAATCTGTGTTCTCAACTGCATTGAGAACACAAGTTACAATGGAACAAAACGTTTCAGGACCCTGAATTCCTACCTAGCTATAAGGAAAGGAGTGTGACTACAAACTCCTGAAACCTGGTTGCAACTCCTGTGCCGAGATCTTGTGCTCTAAACTAGTATTTCTCAACCTTTTTTTATAAAGTACCCAGGGGTGGCCCGTGGCTATAGGCCGACTTGGCCGTCGCCTAGGGCGCTGCCTTCAACGGCGCCTGATGATGACGAAACGGGGCTCCTGGGGCGCCCAACAATGACGTCACCCCATTGACAGCCGTGCAGGCGGGGGCACCGATCACGCGTTCCGCCTGGGGCGCCAGCTGCCGCAGCCCGCTTTGAGCCGCTTCTGAAAGTACCCCTTTAAAAAAATTATAAGTATCCCCCATACCTACAATTTTCAGACACACAAAAAAATTTTCTAACGTCATGACACATTTGTTTAAACAACTTCATCGTAGCTGGGCAGGCGATGACATTTTTTGGGTGTACAAAGTACAAAAATAATAAAGCGCTGTAAAATCTAAAACAAAAATTCCATTTTCTCCAAATTTCAGTTGTGTTGACGTACCCACAGATGTCTCTCAAGTACCCTTGACTGTACTTCTACCACTGGTTGAGAAACACGCTCTAAACAGCTCTGCAATGTAGCATTGTAGAGCCTCCCCACAGGGAAAGATAAAAGCTCTGGGAAACCTTACAAACAACCAGCTGTGCCTGCCTGGCCACATGGGGAGTTAATGTTACTCACGTGATTGCTTGGGGGGGACACAGAGAACCTAGGTTTGTTTGAGAAGAATTTGACTGGGGGAACCCCACAAAGGAGCCATGGTGTCACTGGCCAGCATTGTCCTCTGAGACCTTTCTGAGGCCAGGATTACCCTAGTTATGTGCATGGGCCCCCCGTACTAGTGAATCTGATTGCAGACTTGAACATATGCAGCCAAATGATTACCTTCTCCCTGTCCTTGAGGGAAAAACCCCAACCAAATCCCGACATACCTATTTCACAGAATCTCCCTTGAAAGGGTTCAGCGCACTGGCAGGAGAATTTTGATCTGATTCTTTGCTGCAGACAGACGCCTTCGTTTTTACAGGGGTTTGGTTTGCAAACTGAAGAGACTGTCAACATTTAAAGCACAAAACAGCTCTGTTATTTTGCTAGAAGCTGGCCCATGGTAAAGTGTTGAGAGGAGTTCAGTGCCTTCTTCATCTATTAGCTCAAGCTTTCAGTGAAGATTTTTATAAGCACCACCATGATTCGAACCCAGCCTGCTTCAGTTTCAGCTAAGGGACTGCCGCCCCTAGTCAGGAAAGCAGCAGACTCATCCTTGGTGAGTCAGGCAAGCAGGATGGGTTGCCAGAGACCTTCACAAATAGGGTTGCCAGAGACCTTCACAAAAAATCCCGAACATGGCGGGGGAAAAAATTTGGTTGAGCAAAACAAACAAACAAGAAAACGGGAGACCAAACTTGTTAAGCAAAAAAAAAAAAAAAAAAAGTTGCTACTCCTTCAAATTCCCATGTTCCCCCCCACCACACGCTCTATTTTCTGGGATTTTTTTACCGGACAGAAGATGCAATTACCAGACTGGCTGGGTGAAAACTGGACACCTGGCAACCCTAAACACAAACTAGTCAAGGGAAAACATGGGCTTTCCTCAGCACTGTTCTGACAGTTTGAGTCTACTACCTAGCTCGGGTGAGCAGGTAGTGCGGGCTTCATGCCCACTTATTGATCATACAAACCAGTAATGCTTTTTTCTAACATTATTCTCACCTTTGTAGCAGTGTGGTGGCTTGTAGGGATGTCTACAAGTGCACTGTGAATAAGGTGGAGTTAGCATTATAAGGCAGTCTCCTTTACTACAGCTGTTTTTTTGGCATGTGTTTTTCACTGTGGTGGAGGCAGATAAGACAGAAAAGCAAGAAAAGATGAATTGCTCACATTTTATACGTGCATTCGCTGATCAGGTGCTGAGATACCAGGGCTAGAAATTCTTTCACTTAAATCTCTCATGCCATGGTTAGCTATAGCTTAAGGTGCTCTGGCCTGTTAAACATCTAGGCTACGTCTAGACTGGCATGATTTCCCACAAATGCTTTTAACAGAAAAGTTTTTCCGTTAAAAGCATTTGTGGAAAAGAGTGTCTTGATTGGCACGGACGCTTTTTCTCAAAAGCACTTTTTGCGGAAAAGCGTCTGTGCCAATTTAGACGCGGTTTTGTGCAAGAAAGCCCCGATCGCCATTTTCATAATTGGGGCTTTTTTGCGCAAAACAATACCGCGTTGTCTACACTGGCCCTCTTGCGCAAAAGCATTTGCGCAAGAGGGCTTTTGCCCGAATGGGAGCAGCATAGCATTTCCGCAAGAACACTGACAATCTTACATAAGATCATCAGTGTTCTTGCGGAAATTCAAGCAGCCAGTGTAGACAGCTGGCAAGTTTTTCCTGGAAAAACTTGACAGTCTAGATGCAGCCCTAGAGTCAACATTAGAGTTAGGTGGAAATGGGATTTTCCTTTCAGTGAAAATTTCAGGACTATGATTTTGTTTCCACTTCTGACTCAGAACAACAGTAGAAATATCAATCTTCACATGTTTCAATCCTGAAGAAAAGGGTACAACAATCCATTTCAGAAGAACCAAAATGGAACTTTGCAGCTTCCCAGCTGTCTGCCCAAGGAACTGGCCAGCTACCAAACCATCCCAGGGCCCTAGAAACTGAGACTGCTCAGCAGCTTGCCAGGTGGGAAGCCAAGAAGCCCTAACAAGAAGCCAGGAGGGTGGGTGAGCTAGCCAGAAGCCAGCATCTGTCTACCTACGTGCCTGGTTTCTATTGAAACTTTTGATGGAATCAACACTTCCCTCAGAACATTTTGCTGGCTAGCTCTAGTCAAATCACAACACCCCTTGACCAGTTCCCAAACCGATACTTTCTGAGAAGTCAAAGGCAATATATTTTTTAGAACTTTTTACTTGTTTTTTTTTCTCTCCCTATACAAGTCACGAAATTATGAAAGCAGCACGTACCTTTCTCACACCTCGTCCCAGCATACGGCATCGGACAGAGACAGGTGTAGCTATTTCTGTTTCTTTTGCACTCACCGTTGTTCTTGCAAGGCTTGGATGAGCATGGATCTAACAGGAGAGCATGGAGACTTTTTATTTACACCCCAGAGAGTTAACTTCTTGCCAGGCTCTTAGCTTGACGTTGCCAGGCAAGTTTCAACATTTTTACATGTTTCGACAGGCCGCCGATGCAGGAAGAAAAAAGGGGGCAACTGCCCCAAGGCCTGGCAGTTCAGAGGGGGTAAGGTCTTCCAGTTTCGGCTGCTACTACTGCCCTTTAAATTGCCCCTGGAATCCCACTCAGTACACTGCAGTCCCTGGATGATACTGGTGGGAGGAGTGGTTTGGGTGGTGCTGAGGGCTGGCTTCTCTCACTCTACCTCTTCCACTGGAGGCCCCCCACCCCACATTGGCTAGGGGGTCCAGCAAATCAGCTGGCTTGCCTGTGTTTAGATAACAGACAGTTTCTAGATCATGTGTGTCTGAGATTAACATGGTTTCAGATGGAACCTCAGGTCAGATCACCCCATGACATGACCCAGATCTAAAGCGGTCGGGTTTCTCCTCCCGGAGCAATCTGATGTGAAGGGCAGAAGCAGGCCTAACAACAATTAGCCAATCAGCATCTGCACTGTTTACTCAGGCAAAACTTCCCTTGCATTCAATGCAGGAACCATTAGGAACCAGAGATGACCCCAAGCTAGGGAACTGGGTTCAGATGTGGAGGAGTTCACTACGGAGTGGAAGGGTTTGGCCCCATCTGTCAGACAACCAATATAATAGTTGTGTCCCCTGCAGATATAAATATATCTCAGTATTATTTACTGTTTGCACAGAGGTAGTGCTCAGAGGGACCCTACTGAGGTAGACCCTGTATAAACTTTTTCTCACCTAAATTACTGTGCAAATTTGGGAGCAAATCTGGGAGCTGTTTAGCTTTTGGTTGTAAACCTCAGTGCTTGCTTTGAACCTGACTGGCTATAGGTTCCCAGGAGGCTCTCCATCGGAGGAGGACTACCGGAATACAGTTTGCTGATGCCATGTTGTCTGCCCACCTCCTGGGCAAGCTAACAGCACCCGGCAGAAAGCTGGCAAACCCAGCTCTGCCCCACGTACTTTTCCCCTGGGTCAGGAGAATTCCCGTCTGCATCTTTAAGCCAGCTTCCCATTCCCTTTCTGCTCAGGAAATGGTGCCAAGCATCTGGCCCAAGGAACTGTCTCGCTATATGAAGTTGGGTGAAATTGAAAATAACGTGCGACTAAGAAAAATCATCTGCTCTTCGTTCAGTGACAGACCGTACATCCCATGAAAGCAGCAATTACATCTCACCGTGTCTATAGACAAATAAGCTGGAGGGGGGAGGGGGTTTTGTAGTAGCAAGCAGAAATGTTCTGCCTGATCAGAATCCGTTGTGCAAAACCCAGAGATAAAACGAGGGTGCCTTACAAGAGAAGTACAAAGGAGAACACTGCAGACAAGCCCTCCTCACTAATTCCTTTGATGCAGGCAGTTTGAGAGGATGCTGACAGATAAAGTGAGATGGGGAGCAGGACAATGAGATTTGCCACACTTACAACTGGAATGCTGCTTTGGAGTTTTCTAGCCCTGACACCCTCCCCGCACACTTTACAAACACTGAGTGGCTAAGACTTATTTTTGATACCGTTGTAGTCAAAGTATTCGTAGAACCAGTTGGGATACTCCCTGACTGTGGTGGCAGTGTTCTCTTCAGGCGGGACGTCCTCCTCACCGTATTCATAGTAATCAGTCCAGTCTACAGGAACATAGAAGGAAAGAGGAGAAAATAACATTAAAGGAAAGACAGCATCATAAACTATCCAGTCTTCAGGGTAGTTGCCTCTCTCCTGCCCACTGTAGCCACTGGGGATGTCACAACAGCTGTGGGCATCACATAGAGACATTCCTGATCCTATACAAGTACAAATGTTCTTTGTTAGCCTTGTAAGGCCCATAACACATAACCGAGCTATCGAATAGACAAAAGCACGTGCCCACACACGCTAACATGTTCATCACAACATTCTGGCTACCTTTCTTTCACTGCTGCACCTGAGAGGGATGGAGTGAGCCAGAAATCTGGAGCAGCCATCCATGCTGCCAGAACTGGAAGACACTTCATGCCATGGTGTTGCTGAGAGGACTTTGTCCAGGATATTGTGAACTTACAGGACTGAACATTTCTAGTGCCCCAATATAATTTGGATTGTCCCCCTGTTCTGTGGTGGTTTCACATTTTGTTGCACTATTTTATACATGGGTGGGTGTCTTACTGTGTACTTAGATGCCCTTGTCCCATTGAAGCACATGCATTCAGATGTCTAACTATCTGTGTAATCACATGCTTACAGTGCATGCAGAGAACATCTCTGCTCCTGTTATTCATTTGGTGCCTCCTTGCGAGATAGGACAATATCCTGGACAAACTTTGTTGAATTAAGTAGAACATCCATAAGGGACGTTGGATTAACATGCACTTGTTTGTGTGTTATTGTAAGATGGCTGTGAGCTCATCAGAGCAGGTCTGTCTCTATTTAGGTCCCTGAACTTGGTGCATTTACACAGCACCAGGGGCGGCCCATCCATAGAGGCGAACTAGGCGGTCGCCCAGGGTGCCAAGTTAAATGGGGCGCCAAATGGTGGCGCAATATCATTGATGGGTTTGGAGGTGGGGGTGCCGATTGCATGGTTCGCCTAGGGCACCAGTTGCTGGCAGCTAGTCTAGGGCTGCCCCAGCACAGCACCCTAAGCTCGAAATAAGATATGCAATATGAAATCTTATTTCAAATCTATTTCAAAATTTGAAATGTGATCTACACAGCGCCAAATTTTGAAATAACATGCTATTTTGAGACATCCCTTAACCCTCGTTGAATGAGGGTTACCAGGATGCCGAAATAGCGTGCCCATTATTTCAAAGAATATTTTGAAATAACGAGTGGCTTGTGTAGACATAGGGTAACTATTTCAGGATACCAGAGGTATCCCAAAATAGCCATGACATACCCCTGGAATCTTTAGACACCACCGGAAGACAAATAATAATTGTTCCCGTCTTGGAGGACAATTCCTAGAATAAACTTAAAAAACAACAAGTAGTCAGGTAGCACCTTAAAGACGAACAAAACATGTAGATGGTATCATGAGCTTTATCAGGAGGGACCCAATTTTTCTAGGCACTACGCAAACACAGGACAAAAAAACAGCCTCTGCCAGTGAGTTTCCAGCTTTAATTTTAAATTGCTGTCTGTGATAATATTGTGCTGTTGGGATAGCCACATTACCCAGTGAGCAGCCGAGAGAGCACCCATGCTCTTCTACAACCAGCAGCGTGTCCAGCATCGGTTTTGCATAAGGGGAGATGATTAACATGGGCTACCCCATCTTTCCAGCAGGTGTCACTGCAGCCAATCAGAGGAGCCGCTCTGATGCATTTCAAAGGCAAGGTATGCTAATGCGTGGAGTGAACATGCATTAATGGAAACTTTTAAAAAGCTCTCCCTTAAGGCTGGCTCTGCAGATAATGCTCTGCCTTGAACTGATTATCGACTGCATTATCTTACTTTCCTCTCCTCATTCATTCGCTTGTAGCCTTTATCTTTAGTCTTTCTTTGCTTCTGAAAAAAAAACCACTTTTGTACAATGGATGTTTTATATTTCATATTAAAAAAGGACACATCTCCCCCACCTCCACCCTTCTTTTTTCTATGCACCAATCCTTGTTTCCTGGGGGAAAAGTTTCACCCCATTTATCATTATGTCAAGTCCAGACTCCTTTTTCCTGGCTCATTATTTCTCGGGAGCTATCTCCAGGATATGAAAGTGTGGCAGGAGAGAACACTTGGCTGAGGAATATAAGGATGTGGCTGGAAGATAAAGCTATTGTCTTCAGAGAGAAGATAAAATTTAGTGCAATAAAGTTCATGAGAGAAAACAAAAGGTACATCTGCCCGGACTTCAGCCTTCAAGCTGACATTGTGTAGGAGAGAAGATATTGGAATTATATTCTTCCCTGGTCCACCCCTTTAACTGTTAAATGTCTTTATGGAGCAAGGTGACTTTTATTTAATCTTTTAGTAGCTGCTGCAAAGCTCTGAGCATCCAATCGTAGCTCAGGGCTGGGAAAGATGCAGCCTGGGGAGAGGATCAGGCCAATCACACACTTTGATCCTGCCCGCAGACTGCATCTGGCCACTTGCTATTTTTATTCTGCTGTCTGTGCCACCAAATTTCCAGGCGGTGGCTCAGGCAGTAAGATCCTATGTAAATGGCTCATGGCTCCGGGTCGCGACACTATCCCAGTAGGGACTGGAGCTGCAAGCCCTTTGCCGTGTTTTTAATTCAAAGCCTCCAGACCCAGATAACGCTGGGGGGGGAGGCTAGTCTCTAGTCCTGCCTCTTCCGCTTCAGGCCCCGCCTCTTCATGGAGTGGAGTTGGCCCATGATGGCATACTAAAATTAAGTTGGCGCCCCTGTGAAAATTATTGCCCACCCCTATCCTTGACTATACTTTATCGAAAAGAAAATTATATAAAGACTATGAAGGGTTAATAAATACTTCATAGAAGCCAAATCCTGCTGTCATCTCTTGTCTTATATGTTTTGCACTGCAGCAGACTGTCTGGGATCATCTTTTCATTCTGTGTTTGGGCAGCGCCTAGCACAATGGGGGATCTGTGACATAATCAAGGTACAATTCACACTGATGAGCAGCTGAGCCATCCCTATCCTGTAACCTGGAGTGCTTCACAATGCCTTGCCATTTGCACTGCTCACAAACAGCCTGAGTGCCTGTGTGTATATGCAGCCTTCCAGTCACATTTGGGTAACACTCTGGCTCTCACCAGCCTCAACACACTCCCAGTCCTAGATTTTCCCTGGGAAATGTATGTCCTGTACTGTCCTGTTGTAGGTCTGTCTTTGTGCTAATAGAAATAACACACGTGTATCTTCTGACCCCAAACAGAATTTCCCAAATGCTTCCATTCAAACACACAGGTTTAGATAAAACAACAACAACAACAACAAAACAAACCCATGTTTATAAGCTACAAAGAGATAGATTTTAAGAGAATACAAGTAATAAAACAGAAAAGTCAGAAACAGTCACAAGAAAAATAAAGATAAAACACAACTAGTGCCCAACTTAACAACTGATGTTAAATTCAAAGCAAAGTTCTCAACAGTCTTACTTAGGTTAGAAATTTGTTTTATATTTAATGTCTGCTTCCTTTGTTCCCTCATGCAATGAATCGATGGACACTAAGAAACTCTTTTGAGATAACTAAATTCAACTTAAGAACTCCTGATTTTACAAAATTGAAATAGCATGTCCCTAATACGGGGAAGTCTCAAAATTACTCTGAGATAGGCTCCATTAATGTGGATGCTTTACCTTGATTTAGAGCCCCAGGAAGCACTAGGGAGTAATTAGAATAATCAAATTACTCTGGGGAGTAGTTATTCCAAAATAGCAGCATTGGAGCATCCACACTAATGCTATTTCAAAATAATAAGAGTTATTCCCTGAGGAAAGCAGGAGTGCAGATTGCAAAATAAGTGTCCCCTTATTTCATAATAACAAGCTTGGTAGTGTGGGCGCTCCGCTTATAAATTTGACCTGTTATTTCAAAATAAAGCCCTAGTGTAGACCAGGGCAAGAGAGGAAGGAGAAGGGGTGTCTGCCCCTTCTTTTTATACTCCTGTTCCCCTTTTGAGAAGCATTTCCAATGGGGAGCAAGGTGATAGTCAGTTGGTGCTTCTTTACTAGATTTTTTTCCCCTCTGACCCCCTTCTTGCCAAAGAATGGCCACTTAGCAAGCCATGGCCCATCAGTGGTACTTATACCTGGCTGTGACAGCAGCTTGCTCTTTGTCTCTGAGGTGCTAAATCAGCAACTTGCTTAAGCATGCACTTAAAGATAAGCATGTGCTTTGCTGAATCAGGACAGACTTAACTTGTTTAAAGTTACCCATAACCTTAATGTTTTGCTGAACTGAAGCCATGTTAAGGAACACTCTACAGGCAGACTTCTCTAGAAAATATACGTTTAGTCATGATCTCAGTTTATGTTTACCATAGACGATAAAGGAGAAGGGATGCCAGTCATAATAAATAAAGAACATGTCAGATCTTCTGCCCCAAGGGTTCTCAAATTCTTTCTTTCTCAGGCCCTTCCAACATGTTATAAAATCTCCACAGCTTACCTGTGCCACAACTATTGTTTTTCTGCATAGACAAGCCAGGACCAGCATTAGCAAAACAAGCAGAGCACTTGCCTAACTGGTCCCTCCCCACCACCACAGGGAGCCCCACTAAGCTAAATTGCTCAGGCTTTGGCTTCAGTGGAGATTCAGCTTTCTGCTCTAAACCACAGAAAGTTTAATGCCAGCCTTGCTTGGTGAACACCTGAAACTTGCTCGCTGCCCTCTATGGGGGGGCTTCAGGCTTCAGGCCCCTGGCTGAGAACTGCTGTTCTGAAAAACTTTAATCAGTACAAATCTGAGAGGCCTGGTGCTACTCACCCAAGATACTGAAGAAATTAGCTGAAGAAATCTTAGAGCTATTGGCAATAATATTTGCAAACTCATGGATGACAGGAAAAGTCCCAGAAGACTGGAGAAGGGTTAATACAATGTCCGTCTTTTAAAAAGGGGGTGTATGTGTAATCACCATCAGGTGGATTTGAACTCAGAACCTCTGTATGGGAGCCGCTACTGTTTGATCTGAAAGCTAGCTGACTCTCAGCCCATGCTG